AGCCTCGCACTCGCCTTGGATGAGATGGGAATGTGTTCAGCAGCAAAATCTTTGGGATGGAATTGGATTTCATCAAAAAAATAAGAACAAAACGCATTGCAGTGCCACTAACTGAGACACAATATACGTGTATATATATACAATATATTGTATAATATATAAATAATATAATGTATAGGACTGGAACAAAACATGATTTCTTGTTCTGTGGGATTCAGCGATCCCGTGAAACACACTAGGCCTCTGGGTCCTAAAGGTAACAGCTCTCCCCAAGGTGGCACATTGAAGCGTTAGATTGTTATGTGTTAATTTGAGATCATTTAAACGGCAACACTTTTGGGATTTAAGATGATTTAAGGATATGTTGAAGTTCGCAACAACCATGGTGATTCAACCAACAAAAAATGTGATTTAATCAATGAAAAAATGTGATTTCACAAAGGCTCTCCTGGTCTTTATCTTTGATAATTGCTGATCATTTCGTCTTGAGCTATCCCCAAATGTCTAATGGTGGAGTTTCAAGTGGCAGTCCCAGTCATAACCTGATTTTTGCAGGTGCTCATGGCGAATTGCCATGCCCAAAAATTGGTACTCATTGGTTAAGGGGAAATCGCACCCCAACCAAGCCGGAGCTAAAAAAAGCATGGCGGTTAAGACTTTCCAATTGTTGATGTACTGGACCCCAATCAAGTTAACCCAGGTAATCCACAACCCCAGTTGTTTGACGGGGAATATTGAAGTAGCGTTTTTAGAACATCTTCCCACACACCAAACATTATCACCCTCGTACCCGGGCAGCCGCACAAGCACCGCGACCCCTACGGAAGCCGCAGTGGGACGGTGCCTAAGCTTCAATGCTGGCTGTGGCGTTGGTTCAGGGGAAAAATTAGAAACAAACATCATCAAAAAAAACATTTCTTTTAAATAAATGGAGTTTACCAATATGAAATTAGATTTGATCAACAAATTGGAACTCTTAACAAAACCAATCGAGTGAATTCAACCAACACATGGATATGATTCAACCAGCCAAAACAAGTGGTTCAGCGTGATTCAGCTGGGCATCCAGTGGCTTTGCCAGCCAAGTTTATTTGGCAACCACCAGAATGGACAGTATAATACTCACTTGTTTTATAGTAATTGAATAAAAACCATACAGGAAGGGCCCCTTTCTGAAACGTTGGTTGGTTTTACGAACCCATCCAAGGTTTATCATGGCTTATCCAAGAACCCCCTGTTTCTTGTTGGTACAATGAGCCGCTCGTTGCAGCGCAGCCACCAGCGAGGCCCTTGGGTACCATGAGCATCATGGGCTGGCAGAGGTCGCGCTGCAACCTGCAAAACGCCAGGTCCCTAGGCATGGGAGATGTTGGGAAATATCAGCAGGAAACATGGCGATATGACTACCCTCTGGTAATTGAACATAGCTATTGAAAATGGCCATTTATAGTGAGTTTTCCCATTAAAAATGGTGATTTTCCATAGTTATGTTAAATTACCAGGGGGTACCCTTTAAACCAGCCAAGGTTAACCTAGTTGACCTACAAAAATTGCGTGTGTCTTCTCTCGTTATGAGCTCCAGTTGTGCTAACGTTGTACTGTGGATATATAATTATATATACACAAATCACATTTCATTACAGCACGTACCTGTCGTATCAAATAATTATCACCAACTTGGCATAAAATCACAGTTCCCTAACCCTAATTCGAAATATAGTAAAAGGTCATCACATATGGAAAATGTCGTGAATCTTGTAGAGTTTTGCATATCAATATCCGAACATCTCCTAAATATGTCTCCAAAACTTACTCAAAAAAAAACAAAAATCACCGGAAATTCCATTGTTTTTCGATGGTCGACCTCCGTCAGGGGCGCAGCCACCACCGCCGTGGCCGGCCGTGGCAGGGACAGCGACATAGCACGCGCCTCGAGAGGGGAGCACTTGGAGCAGTTTTGCCCGGATTTGATGTTTGTGATACCCTCTGGTAATTTAACATAGCTATTGAACATGACCCATAGAAATAGTGGATTTACCCATTGAAAATTGTGATTTTCCATAGTTATGTTAGTTTACCAGAGGGTATTTGAGAAGAACATGATTAAAAATGATGGAAAATTATAGAGCATGTCATATACATATATATATATATACCATAACTACCAGAACATATACATTCTTTCCTATGGGTGATGTGAAATCAATAATTTCAAGCTTTCTAATGATACTTCCCATCCATAATCATGTCATTGCATGTGGCACCAAATCACCAATTATCATATCAATGATCTGACGCAGATATCCAGTTCTGAAATGTGAAGGCACCTCCTGTAAGTCTCCAGAAAGAAATCACGTGAAATGATATGAAATGGTATTGATACTATATATACCATCTGGTTATTTAACATAGCCATGGAAAATGGACCATTTATAGATGGTTTACCTATTTAAAATGATGGATCTTTCCATGGCTATGTTAAATAACCAAAGGGTATATCATACTATATACGTCATGTAGTACGTCAACGCAATGTGATACGTATGTGACTTGGTATACATGGCCAATCTTGGAGTCTAAGTCAATATCAATATCTTTAGCTGCGTCTGTTTCATTACAAAACTCATGTCAAAGAAACAAATTACCAATTATATTCTATCATAATCTATAATAATATATAACAACCTATTAACCTAATGATACTAAACCTACCCAGCCAACGTTTACGAGCTGTATCGTCAAGCATCGTACATGAAAATTCCCTGTGCCTTCACCCAACTCGGGACAGCCAGTTTGGTACGTGAAGATACGAGAGTTGGACCAAGTCAAATTTGGGTATCAATTTGATGACTTTATTATCCTGGCTGGTGGTATATGGATGACTATTCCCAATATATGGAAAAATAAAATTCATGTTCCAAAGCACCAATCAGATCATCATCATATTCCCATTGTTGTTGGTTTATACCAGATTAACCACTATTAACCACTATTAATATCACTATTTTGGTGAAGTGATTCCCAAAAATGACCATCTGTGGTTACTTCGAGCCTCTGTGGCCCACGCGGCAGCGAAACGATCAAAAAACGGGCTGCAGATCACGTTCCAAAGGAGTTAGGCAGCAACTGCAGCAACGGACGAAGTTTGGACCATTTTGGACCCATGTAGTGGCAATGTAGTGGAGCTTTTCGTCAGAATGTTGTAAAATTTGTTGCACGACAGGCTTAGATTGGTTAGATGTAGTAACTTCAAGGTAGTTGGACTGCTATGTTGACAAACATATTGAATAAATTTGCATAATTGACCTAATGATTTCCTTCAACTCGCATTTGGTTTTCAACCTGTTTCAGATGCGCTTCCCCCTCTCAAAGCTACAGATCCTATCCCCAAGTTCGATCAAGTTGGGTTCCCTTCCGTTCTGTTGTTCTATTTCACCCTTCTTGGATGATAGCAGGTAAATAATCCAAAACCATCTGCTGTGAGCGTTACATCACAAATATTCATACATTGTCTTTCTTTGGGTAGTTGTTCAATGTCATTTGTTTGTTGAGGATAATGGGGTTCATCGAATTGTGAGTTGAACTTATTTTCAATAAAGTCCGTTGAGTCATTCAACATTTGCAAAGTCTTTACTGTAAATAGTTGTTTGTGGGTTGGCTGTCGGAATGTTTCGGACTGGAGTTGAACTTAATTCAAAACTATTCTCAATAAAAATTAGTGGTTACAAAGAATATTTTGGATTACTCATAAAAAACTCAAGATACATATCAAATGCGTTTTTGATGTTTTTTCACTCGGATTCTCCAGAACACTCGTGGAGATCACAGTGACATCTCTTCCTTAACGGTTGAAGCGCCGAAGAACCAGCTGCTGCCCTCAATTTCTTGTTTTTTGCCATCACCAAAGGCATTACCAAATAGCAGGGCATCAAATCTGGATATTCTTGGGATGACCAGGTTGGGACACCCCAAAAAAGGTGACTGGGAAAAACGAGAGGTTTGGCAAAGCGAGTTCAACAAAAATAAAGGACGCAATGAAACTAGGCCGGGCAATGATCGGACATATCCCACTGTCATACTGTTCCTGCCACCTGCCAAATAAACTTTGTCCATAAACTGCATGTCAAAGGGGTAAGGCAAAATAGGCGTTTGGCTATTTTCGTTTTTGGTAACAATGTGGGCGTGCTTGTCATCCTTCACAAGGAAAGTTGACATACTGAAAATGGCGGTTGGATAGGCTATACTATACAAAGTCATATATATATATATTGTATATGGTGAAAAAACATTTTTCACATAGATGGCTATTTATGCCCGAATTCTGGTTATGGGAATTGTCAAGAAAATTGGTTCGGATTGTCGTTGGCATTTCTGACAGTATATAGTTGGATAATGCTGCATATGAATTTCTACCAAGAAATCATGAGAACTACCCCATTTAACCATTTAAGTCCATTCACATTGCATTTAGAAGAATCAGTCTTGGAAGAATGTTTGAATGTTTTGAATTGGGTAACCTGTCCCACGCCCTGTGTCCTTTTTAAATATAGGTGTTCTTTAAAATAAGTCTTTGACCGATTGCTGGGATTGACCTTCTTGGTGATCTCGCTGATGTCTTCTCAGCCTCGGCTCGAAAACAATTCATCGGATTTCCTGGGGTATTCATGGGATTAAAGGGAGATATCGGCAACTATGATTTGGGTTTGAATGAAAATGAGATGTACTGCACCTTCCAAACGATCCCAAATGACCATGGGAAAAAATAATAATAATAATAAAATTAATGACAATCAATAACCCAATATTCCCCAATGATATTAAGGGTACCACATGATCAAACAAACCCAAATAATCGTGTTCCTTGAATGTAGGAAATCCGTTCCCAAAGGTTTGGGAACAAATGCTCATCGTCCGGCTTAGGGAACAGGAGAGCATCCTTCTCAAATGTTTGGACCTAATGTAATGTCACGTTGCCAGAGCCTGCGTTATCCCATCATCCTTTTTCAGTCATGAGCACTGTGCAGGGACTAGCTACATCTAACTAAATTGTCAGCATTGAGGGAAAATATTTGCTTCCTTTTGGAAGCTTGAAGAAAGAGCTCTCACTGCTCACGAAGCAAAAGGCCTTGGGGGTCTGTCGGCCATCTTTTGTTGGAACTGCTGAGTTCAATCGCAAACTCGTCATCGCTGCTGTCCCTGTCCACACCTAGGGATGGCAAACGAGACCTGGACCTGGACGGCGAACGAATCCTCAAAGATTTGCCTTCCGCACGCAGATCGGCCAAAAAAAAGGTCAGCACATCCTCGGCGAATTCCCGGACACTCCTCTCTTCGAAGATGTAGCCGGACTTGCGGAGAAACTCAACCTCTCCACTTTGTGAGCGCCCAAGACTGCCGTCTGGTTTTGTGACAACGACAAGCTCACAACTCATCTCTTCTGCTCGACGTGTGTTCTCCATCCACCTCACAAGCGCAACATGTTCCGGTTGAACATGAACACAAATAATATAAATAATAATATATCCAACTCTGCCTTTAGGGAAGCATTTGTTCATCTATCTTTATAAGTAAGAACTGCGGCGCTACAATGAGTGAATGAAGGGAATCAAAATACATTGTGCTTGCAAGCAACATTTGGAACCAGCGGCAACCCCACTCCACGGTTTCGCCATACAGCATGTCACAGAAACAGCTTTTTTCAACTCTGTGTGCGAAATATCTTGTGGCGTGAACGCCATAGCCTGGTGTTTTCTTGTCGGGCAGAAACACACAACTGGTTTTCCAGCCACCTGCCCCCTCCATCAATCTGTTCCAAGCTCTGCCGTGTGCGCCCGAGAAGCTCACTATCACTCTGTCTCCTTGACTAAAAACTGGGGTGCCAAGGAATTTGACCTTGGCTCCATCTACCACTTCGCACAATTTATCAAGAGCAGCAGGCGAGAATGATGATGAAATCGATGCCGAATCCGATTGTGTGGTGCTTCTGTGAAATCGAGGCGAGAAGAAGTCGCTTCGCGGCGATAGCTCGGAGAGTTCCGTTTCCGTAATGGTCAAAAATGAATCACTTCTAGATAATGTGAATGAACCACTTCGGAGACACTCGGAGATTGAGATTGCCTCATGGGTTTGCCCATTTTTGCCACTCATACTGTACACAAGCGGCGCAACCTTTCCGTCATCCGTGAGATGGTCCTCTCTTGGGCCGAAAGGCTCTGGGGCCAAGCCGCATTGAATCAACTTGCAAGAACGCCCTGTTATGCGTCTATGTAAGTACAGACATACATAATCATACATATATAATCAGACACACACAAGACACATATTATATATAATATATATATATATGCTTGGCCGACAACAAGTTGCTTGCACATGCTGTCTTCAAAACTGCAACATCACCCACACTCTCTGAGTGTCCGGCAGAAAAGCTGAGGAAGTACACGATGAAAACCGGGCTGGATCAACCATTTGGATCCATTTAAGGGCTGTCGTTTCTACCATATCCCACCGAAAACAAGAACCGAAAAAAGGGACCTTTAAGGGACCTTTAAGGGACCTAACTATCAAATTTCATAAGCCCCATTTTTGGGGATCATTCGTGACTGGTGTTTCCTCAGAAAAAGGAGCTGGTTGGATGTCTCAACCCAGTCGAACCATTGTCAAATAGAAATAGGTTCAAAGAGTGAATCGGCATCATCAAAATCCGAATTATGCATTGGGTGGTTTTATATATATATATATTATATATATATATGTGTGTGTGTGTGTGTTTGTGCGTATGTGTACATACTCAAAATACACACACACATGTATATAATACCGACCCTCCATTGACACAAATTACCAAACCTGATAGTTGTAAGTTGGTCTTGATTCACCCCATGAACTAGTTCGATATATCAACCATCACCATCCATCACCCCAACAGTTGTACTACTTATAGACATACCTAGGTAAACCCTCTTGGTCGAAACCCGATTTCCCATGAAATCTCAAACTTGAAATCCGAAAAAAAAAAAAAAAAAAAACGAATTTCGACAAATTTCTGGCTGCCGCTCTCCTTTTTCCCCAACAAAAAACTGATGCCTCCGCGACTCTTTAAACACCAGTGGCTTGGCCAGCTGGTGCGATCGTCATCGATGATCTCTGGGTGGGCTTCCCCAGCACAACGTCTTTGCAAACTGCTTGTAGAACCCCAAGGCAATGAAAGCCTATACCAGTAATGCTAGATATTAGTGGTAAAATATACGTTTAAACAATTTTTAGGGGGTTCTATAAACGATGAGTAAGTTACTGAAGGGCGGAATGCACAAATTTAAATGCAAAAACATCCAAATCATCTTGGATGAGTTGGACAACTACAGCGGCCACCAACGTATCCAGAAAAAAAAAACATGTCATAATAGTCATAACTATTTTTCATATTTTTTTTCACTAATTATTAGTCATTACTGGCGGTGTCATAAAAAAATGCACTAACCTTAAAATAGCTGAAACTAAGACCAGACCGGCAGTTGGGGGATGATAAATCCCGCAATCGTCATTCCAGTGATTTCACAGTAAGGGTATTACTTGTTTGCGAATCTGTCTGTATATATCTCTCTCTCTCTCTATCATCTGTCTATCTATATCTACATCTAAGAATCTATATCGATCTTGTATTCAAAGTGTCATAATTATATATGGAGGTTTCCTAAAATGGGGGTAAACCCCTAATTCATCCATTTTATTTTCAGATTGTCCATTCTAAATCATCTACGTTGGGGATTCCCCCATTGAGTCCCATTGATGGAAACCCCAGTATATACCATATAATATATAACATGTGTGTAATATATATATATATACCCTCCGGTTATTTAACATAGCTATGGAAAATGGTCCATTTATAGTTGATTTACCCATTAAAAATTGTGATTTTCAATAGCTATGTTAAATAACCAGAGGGTATATCATACTATATATATATATATAATGTAATATCTACATACAGTTTGAGCCAACCCAGCAGCCATCACGGCAGGTCACCGAAAATCGCGCCAACTGCTTGCCTCGGCTGCCGCTAAGGGATAACCCTAACTTGAACCGTTAACCATGCGAAAAAACAAGAATGATGTATGGAATTAGATGGAAATACGAAACTATAGTAGCTATACGATTCTATACTTGTTTTTGTCCATGACCATGTTTAAAACTTGTTTTTGTCCATGACCATTTTTTAAGTAGACACCAACCATCACCAACCATTTGATCCATTTGATGGGGAGTACATATGGGAAATAAACATAGAGGAAACATGGGACATGACATGACCAACACTGATAGTGTTGTGCTCAGGCGCTGCAGCCCCGATTTGGGGTCGATTTTACCATCAAAAAAGGCTAGGATTTAACCACAAGAAAAAATATATTTATATAACCAAGAAATTGATTTAAGATGATTTCCCTGGGGTTGGTAGTGGTTCAGTGAGGCATAGGTCTTACCGAAAGCTAGCACTTTCTGAATGCGTGAGGTTTGGGTATGAATCGAAACGTTTTATGGGCGAGCAAGCTGGGGTTGGAATATCTCGCTCGTAAAATTGGGCAAAGGTGAGCTTGGCCGATTGCAATCTGCTGCCGATGCTCCCTCTGTCTAACTCCCCACTGCACCAAGCGCAGTAAATCTACTGAACTGATGAGCCCCATAGTATCAGACGAAGGGCATCTTAATGAGATTCAATCAGTTAAAGACCTTTACCTTACCATCCGCTAAACTTTAAACTGACACAGCAATGGAAAATCACCTTTTTTCCAGTCAAGAATGTGCTTTCACGGGCCATGGTTCCGTAGATATGATAGATTATTATAGATTATTCAGATTTACCCTCTGGTAATTTAACATAGCTATTGAAAATAGCTATTTATAGTGAGTTTTCCCATTAATAGCATGGTGATTTACCATAGTTATGTAAACGTTTACCAGAGGGTATACCATCTATTTTTGAGCTCCCCGGCAGAGCCGGAAGCTTCCTGCAGCTGTGCACCTCATCTCATCCAGCAAAGCATTTAAGGTGCTCACCAGGTTACCGAGCTGTTGACCCATACAAAGATGATCACATAATATCTTATCTCACAAACATATATAGTTATATATATATACACATTATATGTGAAGATGATACAAGTAAGATTGTGTACACATATGTTGACATATGTGATATATAATGATATACATATATATATATATATGTTTTACATCATGCATATTCCATATAGGTCTCTGGGCCGCTTATTTTGTGGCAGGAAAAACCCTCCAGGTGCCCCTGGCAGTCCCGGTCCAAGGAATGTTGGCTCGGCCTGTCTTGGACGGGCCTGTGGGATGTCTGGGGGCCCGGCTGCCGATCGGCATCCGAAAGCCCATCGGCCCATCGGTTAATGGATGGGGGGTACTCCTCCAACAGGTAGGGTATACCAATGGTATCCTATTCTGATATGGTAGGATACCTATAGGGTATACTTTTCCCATTCTCTGATACTTCAATGGTACCCTGGTACCCTCCCAATTAAACAACCTTAGGGCCTAGGGTTGACATTCTTCGGATGAAATGTTGCAAAACATATACACGCAGAGAGATACTGTATATATATATATATATACTGTATATTTACTTGAAACATAGTTGAAACCTCTAAACTCTAAACCAAAATATTGGGCTACCCTCTGGAAATCAGCTCCATGGCTTAAGCTGGAAACCCCCGTATTTATGGATGATATTTGTCCATTGAAACATATCAAAACCTCCATGCCGAGCCATGTTTGATGACAAAAGGGTCCTGAATCCATGCCACCCCTGCCGATAGCCATGCCGGCCACACGGTAACGTGCATAGAAGTTGAAGCAGGGAAAGCAGGGGCAGAGCGCATAAGCGCTCAAGACCTTCGGAGCATCGCGATCACCACTGGTCACTGGTTAAAAATGTTTAAAACCATAATTGGATGTAATTTGGGGATCTCTTATGCAGAACGTAATGCAATTTTTGGTTCTCTTCCTTTTCTCCGCTTAATTCCAGTGGGTTACAACATGTAAAACAACGATGTTTGTCTACAAAAATCATGGTGGACAGGAAATTTCCCGGATCTAACTCAGAGGACTAGCTGACGGCCAGCGGAAAATCGTTGGATTTCCCGGTGAGTCGATCGTTGGAAAGATCCACCGATCCACCATTTTTGAGCTAGGTAAAGCATCTATTTCGATTAGGGCCATCGAAAAACCATGGCAAACTGTTAGTCAGAACCAGGTTGGGTATATGTTAGTTAGTATATCCTAATGCTTGCGGAAGAGGGAAAGACATGTTTTAAGCTTTTTTAAGCCGCACTTTAGAGGGCTTAGTTAACGACCCCTTGCTAACTCAATCAGCTCCAGTCATTCCCAAAACTATGGATGTATCATGATCATTCATCTCTCCAGGATGGGCCCTCTCAGTCAGTTCTGTTTGGTGACCCCCATCTAACTGTAGATATCCATAGGTATCCATGAATGAATCCCTATTGATAAGATATATATATATATAGTTCTAAACGAAGTTGAATATCTTGAGGCCCCCTTCTGGAAAAAGATTAATATTGTCCATCACTGTCGAGGCCCACATATTCGCCAATCCTGGCTGGTCGCCAGGTTTTTGTAGTCCATACTTGGTTCTGATGGTTTACAACCATCACTGGCCAAAAAAGTCTGTGGATGAAAACAATTCATCCACCAACTTTCCACCAACTATATGACCCAAAAAAACTCTCACCCCATCATGGGTTTGTCTGAAAATAGGGCATATCCAAAATATCCCAAAATCCATCAAAATCCTATTGTTTATCGTCGCGTTTCGTAATTAAATTTGGCTTGTCTGAAAATCATGCACCCCTAGATCCACTGGCTCATCATCACTTTCCGCATGACAATGTTTTTTTTTTGCGGGCATACCCTCTTTTCCAATACACCCAACTATCATATTAAGTTGGTTGGAAGCTATGGCTATAATCTCCACTGCTGTTCGGGTGTAATTGCGACTGATGTCCTATGTTCGAGATGAAACCCCAAACTAGGAAACTCCACTTCAATTATATCCCCTTAAACCCCACTAAACCCCAAGTCTTAATGGCAATTTCCACCCAGCCCCGTGGCACCTGGCGACAAATAGGGCAC